ACTTCACTCTCCACTCTAGTCCTCTGTGGCTATGTCACTGACTCTGGGCCCAAGAGTCCCCAGGTCTTGCCACACTGCTGGCCAACCAGGTCTTCACCCGGGTTCACAGAAGTCTATTGAACGCTGTAGGTGTATGTATTCTTATGCCATGTGATCTGGGCTTCAGACCCGGCTTACAGCACCTCAGGAATATCAACCACCAGATCTACTTCCAGTCACAGTTTCTGCCAGGGCATTCCTTTCTCTCTGACACAGTTTCTGACCTCCTCAGAGCTCTTCCTGCCATTAATAGCTTTCTTGGTGCACAGGTTCTGACAGAGCTTTCACCTTGACCATCTCTAGTTCACGCTAGTCCTCTCCATCTGACTGTACACCTCTTACAGAGTCCCTGTTATCGTTAGGTATCATCAAGTCATAGTGACCCTATGCACAGCAGAACGAAACACTATCCAGTGCTGCTCCATCCTCAAAATCATTGTTACGCTTGAGGCCATTGCTGCTGCCACCATGCCAATCCATCTCACTGAGGGTCTTCTTCTAGCATCCCTAACACCTATAAACACAGTTGATTATATTAATCAAATTGATTCAGGTCAGAATTTAAATAAGGATACTTGGGAGGCAAAAATGGTTGCTTGAATATTCTCCAAAAGGTTGGCAGCTTAAATCCAGAAGTGCCTTGAAACATGGGCCTGGTGATCTGTTTCCAAATATCTAGAGTCTTGAAAACTCTAAGGACTAGTTCTCTTTTGCACATGTGGGGTTGCAATAAGTTGGAATCAACTCTATGGCAATTAACAACAACAGAGTCAATATAGAATAATCCAGTTAATATATAATAACAGTAGGTGGGGATTTCAAAAACTCATGGAAAAATGGAACTTTTTGATGACGCCTTGTATAATTAATATATACCAATATACAGTTGTTGTTGTTGTTGTTGTTATGTGCCGTGGAGTCAGTTCCGACTCATAGTGACCCTGGTACAGGGTTTCCGAGGCTGTAAATCTTTATAGGAGCAGAAAGCCTTATCTTTCTCCCACGGAACTGCATGTAGTTTTGAACTGCTGACCTTGAGGTTTGCAGCCCAATTCGTAACCACTACGCTACCAAAGCTCCTTAGTATAATAGTAAAGGGTTTGAATACATTGTAAAGATACATGATTATACAGAATAAATAAGCACTTTCTCTATACCTAGGGTCGCTATGAGTCAGAATCGACTTGACAGCACTTAACAACAACAGGGAAGAAAGATATGAATACCAGAATAAATCAAACACTTCTTCTAAAGGAATTGTTATCCTGATCACGTATGTTATACTCCCTGAAAATAATGAGGAGTCCAATTTATGAAAATATAGCCTAGGTGTGAAAACCACAAGGTCAGGTGGTTCAAACCCACCATTTGCTCCCTGAGAACTCTATACAGGGTTACTATAAGTGGGAACCAACTTGATGGCACCTAACAACCACAAGTGTGATAAGGGAATATTAGTTGGTGGGATGAGGAAGAGAAATGATAATGTAGGAGGATTTCAGTAAGTATCAGTCAACCTCTGTGATTCCACGAAGGACGAATATAGAGAAAAACAACTCCAGTCAGGTATAATGAGTATGGTCCAGGGACCAAGGATTCAATGAAGATCATGATTTAGGTTGAAATGGCTACCTCTATAAATCTAAAATGTGTTCATTTCCATGCCTTATGAAAGTGGTGTCATTTGTCCTTCCAGTGGACACAGTTTTCACAAATAGGTCAGGGCTTATATTGGTTTTAGAAGAGAAAAAGAATGAGAAAGGAGTGACCAGCAATGGGCCTCAGGCAGAGGTATCATTAAGTAGAGGGTTTCGGGATCGCTCTACATTTCCTAGAACTGAATGTGAATCTTCCATTTTGCCCATGTACATTTTTCCCTACTGGAGAAGGTTCATACCTTTTCTCAGATTTTCACAAAGACCCTTGATCCAAGACTCTAACTTAGGAAGCCCTGAGTTAGAGAGTGGACTAAAAGGTGATCTAAGAGAGGAAATGCTCCTTGTAACAGAGACGGACTCAGGCTGACTATGGGGAGGGTGTAGAGTTAGTGGACGCTCTTGTCAAGTTTGCCAGGACTGGACTTCCAAGGGAATGGAGAGGGAGGAGCCAAGTAGGAAGAAAAGGAGACAGCTCAAGACTCTTTCAGAAGGAACTCCTAATTTCTAATAGAAGCAGCAGGCAATTAGTATAATTCCTCAGAGGTTCAGAAAATGCAAAAGTCTCAATTTAAAGGCTCTGAATAATTAGTAAGATTTTATCTGTCTTTAAAAAAAAAAAAAAAAAACACCCAAAAACCCCCACAAATATCCAAGCATAGAACAAAAGAAAACTCACAAAAACTTCTTTGGAGCTTTGTGTCAATTTTAGTTATTTATGTTTTGAAACAAGGTTTTCTAACCTTGCTGTCTGACTCATAACAGCCCATTATACTGTTTCCATGGAGCGACAAGTGGGTTTAAACTGCTGACCTTGTGATTAGCAGCCCAGTGCTTGTCCCACAGCACCACACCAGGACTCATTTCTAACCTTATCAATTCAGTAATAATTATGTAGCTGGCATAAGCCCAAATTTAAAATTGTACATTCTGGTTCAAGGACCCAGGTTTAGGCAGTATTGTCATATACTGACACCTTAAATTAATGAAGGGGACCCATGTGATTTAAGCTAAACATTATCTTTAATTCAATTACAGCATGAATCTGACTTAAACATTTACAAACTGTTGTTCACACAGGAACCAAAGCCAGACACATATGATATGATTTTCTGAGTATTTACAATCCTCTTTAGAAAAAAGGTTTGACAAGTTAGTTATTTACCTGACAGGAAGAGTCCGATCCCCTTTTCTTCTGTCCATTTCCCTTTGAGGGACAGGGTACCAGCGAAAATTAAGCTTCCAGTTGAACCCACCATAGGTCATATCAGAGCCTGCCATGTACTCAAAAGTATCATCGCTGATCACATCGATGATAGGACACACTACCGTTCTCCTGTAATCACACATACAAATGCAAAACTCTCAGAAGCTTTTCTTGTATAAATAACTATCCACACTATTAAGAGTATAGTTAATGTGTGAAAAATTAAAGAATGCTTTCTAGAATGTTAGAGAAAATGGTGACAAAAACTCTTGCTACATCCTACCAAACCAGCATAATCACAGCTTTATTGATGGCACTGTGGGTTAATCCACTGGACTGCAAAGTTGCTTTGATCCTCAAGGTCGGCGGTTCAAGCTCACCAGACCCTCCTAGGAAACCCTATACAGGGTCGCTATGGGTTGGAACTGACTTGATGACACTTAACAACAACAATCCGTAGGAGCATTGATGGTGTAATGTGTTATGCATTGGGCTGTTAACTGTAAGGTCAGAAGTGTGAATTCACCAGCTGCTCTGTGGGAGAAAGATGAAGCTTTCTGCTTCCATAATGATTTATGGCACTTAGCAACAACATCCATACCTTTTAAGAATCAGATTTTTACATAGGCACCACATGTAAAATGCTAAAAATATGTCTACAGTGTTCAAAATTAGCACTTTAAGGTAATTGTTCTTAATGATCAGCTTTTGGACGTTTACATTTAAAATAATTTTTTATTAAGATACTACAGTGAACATATTTATGTACACAGCATTTCACTTTTGCTTTAAGAACAAACTTCTCTACAAGTGAGACTATGAGTAAAGGCAGAAACCTTTTTTCATGGCATGCTTCTTTACTACTTTCCAGAAGTGTTACATGTTCCTATCTGCAGCTTCTTTGGAAGTTCCGCTGAATGCTCCTTGCAAGAGAGGATGGAGAGACTTTGTCTCATGTACTTTGGACATGGTCTCAGGAAGGAGTTGTCCAAGGAGAAGGACATCAAGCAGAGGAAGAGTGAAACAGAGGGAAGCCCTCAGGAGATGGGTGGACTGAGGCTGCAGCAGCGGATTCAAACCTAACAAAGGCTGTGAGGCTGGCACGGGACAGGGCAGTGTTTTATACAGGGTGGCTATGAGCCAGAACTGACTCGATGGCACCTAATCACAACACAGTTTTCCAAAAGTGTGCCAACTTGGGATGTTATTCTCTTATACTTTTAACTAATATAATGATATACAATACCTCAGGATTGAAAGCATTCATTATTTTCTAATTGTTACAAAGAACATTTCCCCTTAGGTTTGTAGTTCTTCATACAAATTGTCTGACCATACGTTTGTAACATATTCTACTGGCACTATCTTTTTAAGAAACATAAAATCTGATACAACCACCATTTTTAGGGAAAGCCGACCTCACAGCTCTATCACATAAGAAAGGAGAGTCCCCAAGGCAGCTGGGCACCACTCATCTGTCAGTGTGTTGTACTATGGTAGTGTGTGTTGCTGTGATGTTGGAAGTTATGCCAATGGTATTTGAAATACCAGAAGGGTCACCCATGGTGGACCAATTTCAGCAGAGCTTCCAGACTTAAGACAGACCAGGAAGGAGATGAGATACAGACTATTTCTTAATGGTTAGCTACTGAAAACTTTATGAGTAGCACTGGAATATTATCAGATAAAGTTCTAGAATATGGAAACATGAACATCAGTAGAGCATTATATGATACAGTGCCAGGAGATGAGCCCCTCATGTTGGAAGGCCCTCAAAATACAACTGGGGAAGAGCTGCCTCCTCAAGTACAGTTGACCATGATGACACAAATGGAGTAAAGCTTTCAGGACCTTCATTCGCTGATGGGGCACAACTCAAAATGAGGAGTAACAGCTGCAAACATTCATTAATAATCGGAACATGGAATGTCCCAAGTATGAATCTAGGAAAACTGCAGGTTGTCAAAAATGAAATGGAATGCATAAACACCAATATCCTAGACATTAGTGAGCTGAAAGGGACTGGTATTGGCCATTTTGGATCAAACAATCATATGGTTTACTATGCTGGGAATGAAAAATCCAAGAGGAATGGTGTCACATTATTTGTCAAAAAGAACATTTCAAGAAAAATCATCCTATCAAACAATACTTCAAGCCTGGAGGTTAGTTTGGTGTTATATTTAAAAAATTATAGTTGAAGGAAGTATCTCAGTATCTTCGATCTAAGGTTTGAAAAGTAAATGTTCTTTATCCATTCATGAACATTTACTAAGCTTATGTAACTTTACATTTGGGAACCTGGTGTCCTAGTAGTTAAGCTCTTGGTTGCTAACTGAAAGGTTAGCTATTCAAACCGACCATACACCCCACGGGAGAAAAGATGTAGCATCTGTTTCTGTAAAGATTACAGCCTTGGAAACACTGCAAGGCCATTCATTCTATTCTGTCCTATGAGTGGCACTCAACTCCCAGGCAATGGATTGTTAGGGTTTAACTAGGCATTGTATCAGTTACAACAGTTTCTATTACAGAAACAGGAGTCCTGGTGTGGTGCAGTGGGCTAATGCGCTGCACTGCAAAGTCAGTTTGAGCTGCAAAGTGGATGGTTTAAGATTACCAGTCGTTCCTTGGAAACCCTATACAGGGTCACTATGGGTCAGTACTAAATTGATGGTGCTTAACAGCAACAACAAATCAAATAAACTGACAAGTCTCAGCACTTCTATAGTGGGATGTGAGATAAGGCAGTTTCTGTTAAGATCAGTTTTGGTTAGGAAGAAGTTTTAGCCAAGTTCCATTATGCGTAAGCTACTATGGGCTGACACAGAAGTACCAACAATGGGCTCAAATATAACAACAATTGTGAGGATGGCACAGGACCGAGCACTATTTGGTCCTTTTGTGCATAGTGTCAGATGATGTGGAACCAACTCAGCAGCACCTATCAACTAAGGACTAATGAACTGAGGTGATAGTGGTTGGGTGTTACGTAGTAGTTTCCCACTCATAGAGACCCTGTATAGGGTTTCTAAGTCTATAACTCTTTACAGAAGCAGAGAGCCTCATCTTTCTTCCAAGGAGTGGCTGGTAGACTTGAACTGCTGATCTCGCAGTTAGCAGCCCAACTTATAACCTGCTACACTACTTAAAGGGCTCAGGTGGGGGCAGTGGTGGTGTGTTATTGAGTTGGTTCCGACGCAGTGATCCTGCATAGGGATTCTGGGACAGCAAATCTTTTTTTCCAGGGGAGTGGCAGGTAGATTTAAACTGCAGACCTTGTAGTTAGCAGCCCAATGCATAATCTCTACACTACCAGGAGTGCCAAGAAAACAGCTGAAGTGTAAGAGGAAATTCTAAGTCTTTAGAAATATAAAGGAAAACATTAATGAATGAAAGTTAAGTGTGGGGGGACATTAGATAGAACCACTTAATATTTAGTCACTCACATTTTAAAAATAAGGAGTGTGCTTACTATATTCCAGGCTTTGTTCTAAGTGCTCAACAATACCATTTCATTCTGCACTGTAACGATAAGGTATAATTATTTATTGCTGCTGAGGAGTCTGTGGTACAGAGAAGTGGCTTGCCCAAAGTCTCACAACTACTAAGTGGCAGAGCCAGGATTTGAACTTAGCCTTCTTACTCGCTAAAGTCTGCGGTCTTAATCAGTATGCTAACACCAGAAATTCTGGCTTCTTGTCACACTTAAAATTCACAGGTGGACCAAGTAAATTATAAGATACTATTAGATAACATTCTAAAATTATAAATATTTTTGTTTCTACGCTTGCCTTTTTTTTCTGAGAAAATTAGTGCCTGTTGACTAAAAAAAAAAAAGCTTAAAATAAGACCATGTAGGAAAAAGGGGGTGGGGGTGAGGGGAGAAGCACTATAATCCAGTACAGTACTACACCATCATTAACAGTCTGGAATTTTCCCAGATAGAGATGAAACTGGTAGCCTTGGTGGCACAGTGGTGAAAGCGCTAAAGTGCCGACTGAAAGATCAGAGGTTCCAACCCCACCAGTTGCTCTGTGCAGAAAGATATAGCAGTCTGCTTTCATAAAGACTGACCGTCCTAGAAACCCTATGGGGCAGTTTATCTTATAGGGGACTGATGGGTTTGTTATATATGGTTTTGATATCTAGATTTTTTTTTCACCTCATAGCATGAACATTCCCTCTTATTATCAATGTTTATTGGAATTTTGTATTTCTGTATAACGTTTTACTTTATGAATTAAGAATACATATTTATAAAAATATTACCACTTATCCTGATATATGAAAAACATTTTATTTACTTTTATGATAAATTATGATGTAGAGAAATTTAAGTATTTATTCAGATCTACTTATGTTTTTAACAATTTCTTCTATGACTCTAAAATTCCTAAGTCCTCCTCACAACTGTTGCCTATGGCTTGGCCTTTATTTTTGTAGTTAATCTTGTATTTGGAATTTATTTTTGTGCAACAGTGCACTTAAAATGATTATTTTGCTTTCACCTTTCCAACAGTTATAATTCTCCTTGTTGCTTACTATATTGATTAGAACATCCCAATTTAAACAATAGTTGTTGCTAAGTGCCGTTGATTCGGTTCCAATCCATAGCAATGCCGTATAGGGTTTCCAAGGAGCGACTGGTGTGCTTGAACCATCTATCTTATAGTTCAAACGACTTTGCAGTTTGGCTCATTAACGCACAGCGCCACACCAAGACTCATACAGTGGTGACAGCAAATAACCACACGTCGTTCCTGGTTCCTGATTTCAGTAAAAATTCCTCAGGTATTTCACAGTTAAGTAAGATGTGGGATATTCATTCAATTAAAAGTAAACTGTTGATTTCCTATAAGTTCTTAATCAGGAACATGTGCTTACTTTTAGCAGAGTCCTTTAATATCTGATTGAAATGATTTTGTGGTTTTCCTTTATTTGGCATACCATTTGTTATTGCTAAATGCCGCTGAGTTGGTTCTGACCCATAAAAAACACAAGGCTGGTTTGAACCACAGGGCTGATAGTTCAAACTCAACATCTGCTCCTCGGAAACCCTATAGAGGGTCACTATGAGTCAGAACTGACTCAATGGCACTTAACAACAAGGGGTGACTGGTGAGTTTGAACCACCGACCTTGTGGTTAAAACCCACCTTGTGGTCAAGTGCTTATCCACACTGAGACTAGTGTGATATACTGAATGATGTGGTTTTTCAAATATACTTTATTTGAATGCTTTATTACAAAGAATTCTCAATTAATATATTGCCTGGTTAGATCTGCCCATGTTTCATTGCAGTCTCTGCAACTATATTCATGATTACTGTTGTTATTTGCCTTCGAGTCAGTTCTGACTCATAGTGACCCTGTATAGGGTTTCCTAGGAGCAGGCTTGGTGAATTTGAACCACCAACTTGCAATTCAAACAGACTTTGTAGTGCAGTGCATTAACCCATAGCACCACACCAGGACTCATGATTGTTGTTGTTGTTGTTCAGTGCCATCGAGTTGGTACCGACTCATAGTGACCCTATGAACAACAGAATAAAACACTGCCCAGTCCTGGGTCAACCTCACAATTGTTGCTACGCTTGACTCAATCCATCTTGTTGGGAGTCTTCCTCTTTTTCTCTGACCCTCCACCTTACCAA